CTTCTCTCTCCCTCAATGGGCAGTGCAACTTCCTCCTCCTCCTCCTCGTCCTCCTCCTCCTCCTCCTCCTCCTCCTCCTCCTCCTCCTCTGCCCCCCTCCTTCCCCCCCTCCCTCCTTTCCCCCCTTCCAAACCTCCAAACCTCTCCGAATCTCGCAAACCTTTCAAAAGCACGGAACGTGGACGTTCGGGGAGCAGGGCGTGGCCAGCGCGTCGCGCAGCAGGGTTGTCGGCCAGAGCCAGCGGCGCGACACGTTAAGCACAGGTTCCTCCTCCTCCTCCTCCTCCTCTTTCTCCTCCTTTTCCCCGTCCTCCTCCCCCCACTCATCCCTCCTCCTCCTCCTCCTCCTCCTCCTCCTCTCCTCCTCCTCCTCCTCCTCCTCCTCCTCCTCCTCCTCCTCCTCCTCCTCCTCCTCCTCCTCCTCCTCCTCCTTTTCCTCCTCCACCATTCCGTCTCCTTCTAGCCAATTCTGCCTGTCGCACCCCGAAGCCAGTTTTTAGGGCAGGCCGGGCGTTTCGCCTGAGAGTTTTTCACCATTGATGATTCTGAAGTTTAAAAAGTGACAACCGCTTCACATATGGAGGGCTTGTCGTTTTCAAAATGTGGCTCTCGCCTTAGCGCTGCGCACATACGCTTTAAACATGTGCAAGAGTTTCATGGATTGCGGGCAGGTGGTTTTCAAAAATGTGGCTCTCGCCTGAGCGCCGCGCACATTCGTTCTAAAAATGTGCAAGCGCTTCACGGATTGAGGGGGGGTCGTTTTCAAAATATGGCTCTCGCTTAAGCGCCGCGCACACTCATTTTAAACATGTGCAAAAGCTTCACGGAATGAGGGCGGCCCCTTTTTCGAAATGTGGTTCTCGCCTTCAAAATGTCAAAATGTTCAAAATGCCCCCCCCCCTCCCTCGCCGCGCACACTCATTGTCAAAATGTATAAGAGTTTCACGGAATCCCATGATCAACTTACCAGAAATGGTGTTTTGGCAAGATTCTTGTATTTTGCGGGTGCAACAGTTATGTTGGTACGCGTTGAAGTTCCAAGAATGGCGTTCTTGGACGGTTCCGGATCGCCAAGACGCAGCAATCAGGTTGATACGTGTCGGTGAAATCCCGAGAACAATGTTTTGGCATGCATCAGGATCTTTCAATGGCAATGAACCGTTGTGGGGGCCTACGAAGAGGGATCTTGGAGGGAGGGTTAATTCCAACATCGTTGATGATTCTTGGTTTTACACTGGTCCTCCTTCTCCTCCTCCTCCTCCTCCTCCTCCTCCTCCTCCTCCTCCTCCTCCTCCTCCTTCTCCTCCTCCTCCTTCTTCTCCTCCTCCTCCTCCTCCTCTTCCTCCTCCTCCTCCTCCTCTTCTTCCTATTCTGGGGCAACGACCATCGTGAGTGGTGTGTCGAAATTGGCGCGGTGCCTCCATGCGAACGCGGCCGCTGGGGCTTTCGGTGGAGCTCCCTATGGGGCCACGACCCTCGTAAGGGGTGTACCGAATGGGGCGCAGTGCCGCCATGCAAACGCAGCCACTTGGGCCTGCGGTGGAGCTCCCTATGGGGCCACGACCATGGGGAGGAGTGTGCCGCAGTGAGCGCGGTGCCGCAATGCGAACGCGGCCGCTGAGGCCTTCGGCAGAGCTCCCCTTTTGTAGGGCCACGATCCTCGTGAGGGGTGTGCCGAAATTGGCGCGGTGCCGCCGTGCGAACGCAGCCATGTGGGCCCTTCGGTGGAACTCCCTATGGGGCCACGACCATCGGGAGGGGTGTGCCGCAGTGAGCGCGGCGCCGCAATGCGAAAGCGGCCGCTGAGGCCTTCGGCAGAGCTCCCCTTTTGTGGGGCCACGATCCTCGCGAGGGGTGTGCCGAGATGGGCGCGGTGCCGCCGTGCGAACGCGGCCATGTGGGCCTTCGGTAGAGCACCCTATGGAGCCACGATCCCCGCGAGGGGTGCGCTGAGATGAGTGCGGCGCCGCCGTGCGACCCCTGCCACTTGGGCCTTCGGAGGAGGTCCCTATGGAGCCACGATCCTCGCGAGGGGAGGAGGAGGAGGAGGAGGAGGAGGAGGAGGAGGAGGAGGACAAGGAGGAGGACAAGGAGGAGGAGGGGGAGGAGGAGGAGGAGGAGGAGGAGGAGGAGAAGAAGGAGGAGGAGGAGGAGGGGGCGAAGAAGGAGGCGCCATGCGAACGCGGGCACTGGGGTTTTCGGTGGTCCTCCCTGTGGGGCCACGAAACGTGTGAGGTGCGTGCCGAAATGGGCGCGGTGTCGCCATGCGAACGCAGCCACTGGGGCCCTCGGTGGACCTCAGTGCTGGGCCACGATCCTCGTGAGGAGTGTGCCGAAATTGGCATGCGGAGGGCAGAGGCAGGGATGGGAGGATGGGGCGAGGAGGAGGAGGAGGAGGAGGAGTGTCTCGGGGCGGTGTCTCTTCAAAACGAGGACCCAACACAACAGCACAAGTGTGAATAACCTTTGCGAATGGCCAAACCAATGCGGGTGCGAGTACAGCAACGCAGGTGGGACGAGAGAGGGGCAGCTCCCGATGTAGCCCCGGAACGTGTGAGAGGTGTGCTGAAATCGATGCGGTAGCGCCATGCGGACTTTGCCACTGGGACCTGCGGTGGGGCTCCACATGAGGCCAAGAAACGTGTGAGGGGGGGCCGACCTGGACGCGGTGCCGCCGTGCGAAACTTGCCACTTGGGCATTCGGCGGAGCTCCCTGTGGAGCCACGATCTTCGCGAGGAATGTGCAAGAAATAAATGCGTTGCCGCGATGCGAACGCAGGCACTTGGGCCGTCGGTGGTGCTTCCTATGGGGCCACGAAACGTGGAGGGGTTGCCGACATGGTGGTAACGCTAATGGCGATGACGTTGATGGTGACGTTGATGGTGATGATGACGACGATGACGATGAGGACGAGGATAAGGATGAGGATGATGATGGTGGTGATGATGATGATGGTGATGGTGGTCATGATGATGATGATGGTGATGATGATGCTGGTCATGATGGTGATGACTATGATGAGGATACTGCTAATGAGAATGATAGTGTTGATTATGATGATGATGGTGGTGATGATATTGATGATGATGCTGGTCATGGTGATGACGATGATGAGGATGCTGCTAATGAGGATGATGGTGATTATGACGATGATTGTGATGATGATGATAATGATGATGATGATGATCATGATGATCATGATCATGATGATGATGGTATGGTGGTGGTGATGGTGAAGGTGATGGTGGTGCCGATGATGATTGGTGTGATGATGATAATGGGAATGATAATGAGACTGACGATGATGACGATGATAATGAATTCGATGATGATGATGATGATGATGATGATGATGATGATGATGATGATGATGATGATGATGATGATGATGATGATGATGATGCCGTCGGCGACGACGACGACTACGACAACGACGACGACGAGAGGAGGAAGAGGAGGAGGAGGAAGGAGGAGGAGGAGTGAGGAGGGCGGTGTCTCTTCAAAACGAGACTCAAAAACCACATGACGGTTGGGAATAACCAGCAACCGAATTGTCTCGGCGGCAGACCCAACCATATGCAGGCGTAAGTACCGCAAGCCAGGTGGGACGAATGAAGGGGAAGTGCCTATAGGCCCGCGCAGCGTGAGAGGGGTGCCAAAATGGGGAGTTGCCGCTATGAGGTCGCTGGCATTGGCGCGCTGGTGGGGCTCCCTATGGCTCATGGGGCCACGAAATGCGTGAGGGGTGTGCCGAAATGGAAACACCGACGCCATGCGGACCCATGCATTGGGGCCTTCGGTGGAGCTCCCTGTGGGGCCACGATGCGTGTGAGTGTTGTGCTGATATCGATGCGGCGCCGCCTTGCAGACCCTGCCGCCGGGATCTTAGTTGGAGCTTCCTATGGGGCCACGAAACGCGTGAAGAGTGCGCCAACATGAGGCGGCGGCGTCATGTGGACCCTGGCATGTGGGCCTTAGCTGGAGCTCCCTATGGGGCCACGAAACGTGTGAGGTGCGTGCCGAAATTGTAAAGCGGCGACGCCATGCGGACCCTGACATTTGAGCTTAAGTTGGAGCTCCATTTGGGGACACGAAACGCGTGACGGGTGTGCCGAAGTGAACCAGCGACGCCATGCGGAGCCTGGCATTTGGGCTTTAGTTGGAGCTCCCTGTGGGGCCACGATGCGTGTGATGGGTGTGCTGGACTGAGGTGGCGACGCCATGCGGACCCTGGTATTTGGGCCTTCGGTGGAGCTCCGTGTGCGGCCACGATGCGTGCGAGTGTTGTGCCGATAACGATGCGGCGCCGCCTTGCAGACCCTGCCGCCAGGGTCTTCGCTGGAGATCCTCTTGGGGCCACGAAACGTGTGAGGGGTGTGCCGACATGAGGCGGCGACGCCATGTGGACCTTGGCGTGTGGGCCTTAGCTGGAGCACCCTATGGGGCCACGAGACGCGTGAGAGGTGTTCCGAAACGAGGTGGCCACGCCATGCGGACCCTGGTATTTGGGCCTTCTTTGGCGCTCCTCAGGGGGGCACGACCTGTGGGAGGAAACGAGTATGAGGACATGCGGAGGTCAGAGGCAGGGATGGGAGGAGGGAGGGAGGGAGGGGCCAGGAGGAGGAAGGAGGAGGACCTGGGGCGCTGTCTCTGCAAAACGAGTACCCAACACTAAAGGATGAGCGGAAACCAAACAACAACAACAACAACAACAACAACAACAACAACAACAACAACAACAACAACAACAACAACAACAACAACAACTACAACTACAACTACAACTACAACTACAACTACAACTACAACTACAACAACAACTACAACAACTACAACAACAACAACAATAACAATAATAACAATAACAATAATAACAACAACATCATCAACAACAACAACAATAAAATAAAATAAAATAAAAAGATCAAAAAAAACAAAACAAAAAACAAAAAAAAAACGCGGGCTGCCCCTCACGCCCCCCTCCTCCTCGCCCAGCGAGGTCTCCAGGGGGCTGCTGGAGAGGTGCGGGGAGCACGGCCTGACGACGCTGTGCCACGCGTCCTCGCTGGGTGCCTTCCTGGCGCTCCGCGGCGCCTCCTTCTGGTCGGCGCTCACGCTGCTCGTCGTGGGCCAGCAGCGCCGCATGGCGGTGGCCTCGTGGCTGCTCGCAGAGGCGACGAGGGTGGGCATCGGGCGCGGAGAGACCATAGGCCGGGCAGCTCAAAGCGCTCCCCCGTGGCCCTCGTCTTCCACCATCCCATCCCGTCCCATCCCCCTCGCGCACCCCTCTCGTACATCCCGCCTCCTCTCTGCGCCGACCATCCCCCTTTCTCTCCCCCTCCCCTCCCCTCCTCCCCCCCATCTCCCATCCACTGCTCCTCCCGCCCCCCTCGCAAGAACCAGCGCCCCCCCGCCTGCCCCTCCCAATCTATCTCTCCCCCCCCCGTCCACTCCACCTTCCTCGCCCCTCCTTTCCCCCCTTTACCCACCCCTTCCATTTCACTCCGAGGAGGAGGAGGAGGAGGAGGAGGGGGCGTAGGAGGAGGAGGAGGAGGAGGAGGAGGAGGAGGAGGGGAGGGGCAGCAGCGGCGGCGGCAAGAGCTGAAGGCGGATGAGAAGCAGGAGCAGGAAGAGGAGGCCTTCGCCTCCTCCTGCTGCTACTCGCTGACGGGGAAAGTCCTGCAGCGTCCACGATGCGAATTCAGCACGCGCTGCTCAGGCGTGGCGTTGACACGCGTCTGGCTGGCACCACATGAAGGGCATGTTGTGGTCACTGCCGACGGCGGCAGGCACGAACCGGAGGTGTGCGTGTGTGTGTGTGTGTGCGCGTGCGTGCAGCACTTCCTGTCCCTGCGTTTTCCCCAGGGCCTGCGCCTGCCTCCGGGCGCGGCAACGGCACCACGTGGAGGAGCCTCGCTGCTACGAGGTCGAAGACACTTCTCGGCTTTGCCGGCACCGCTGCTAAAATCATTCCCCGTCCCCCCCAAGTCGCCAGAGGCGAAGAGAGGGAACGCCTGACATGAATTTGGTCGGCGATCGCCTCCAACCTCTCGGCAACTGCCATGTCACGCGAGGGAACCTGAGAGGAGGGATGGACATGCCAAAAGCCACGCATCTTAACAAGCACGAGAAAGTATCTCGAAACCTGTGGGAGGAGCCACAAACTTTCAGCACCCTCCCAAAACCTCCCCCTCTGTCCCTGCGCCCTCTCCTCCTCCTCCTCCTCCTCCTCCTCCTCCTCCTCCTCCTCCTCCTCCTCCTCCTCCTCCTCCTCCTCCTCCTCCTCCTCCTCCTCCTCCGTAACCATTTTGGCTCAAGTCCGTAGTGTTTCGCTCCAGGACTGAGTTTTTGGCGTGGGGGAGCAGCGGCCCCCGAAGGCTCTCGTACCTCCTCTCTGCCTGCCCTGGCTGGAGGTACCACTCTGTTCACGTGCTGTTTTCGGGAACGTACGCTCCCCTTTGCACTAGTTACATCTCTTTGCTGCCGCGGATGTTTCACGGAGATGGACGGGCACAGAAGACGAGCAGGCATGCCCAGAGGCGTCGGGCGGAGGCGACGGATTGGGTATGTCGATGGTGTGTCCACCCAGTTTCGGGCGCGGCATGGTGGAACAGATCGGATAAGGTATCATGTCATAAGTGTGGTGTTGCCAAGGCCTCGTCCTTTCTGGAGCCTCGGTTCAAGCATACGGCGCCTTCGCAGAAGCAACAGCGGGCAGACAGAGCGGCCACAGCCGAGCAGCCGCCGCAGACCCCCGCTCAGATCCGTGTTCGGTTGGACGAGATCGATGAGGCCATGCGGGCGATCAAAGACCTCAAGGACCCCTGCTTCGAGAAGGCGAGGGAGGACTACGAGGGGGAGCGCAAGCGGCTGCGGTCGGACTTGGAGGCGTCCAAGCCAGTGCCTGCGCAGCTGCGCTCGCTGTCATTCCAGTCGGCGAAGTGGAACACCAAGAAGGCCAAGCACGAGGGCCTTCTGGCGGCCGCCAAGATGGAGGTGCAGAAGCTGCAGGAGACCATCCGTGAGCAGGAGCAGTTGGTGGTCGAGGCTGAGCAGGCCATATTGCAGATTGCCGAAGAACAAACCAGGCTTGCGTCATCGGTCCCGAGGCCTCCATCGTCCACCACCGAGGCAGGCGAGCTCGTGGCCGCCCTCGGCATCACGGTCGACAAGCTCGGAGGCATCCTTGCAGGGCTCGGAGACGACGGTCAGTTACAAGCGAAGTTGGACTCGGCCTTGGAGGAGGTACGGGTTCTGGAGGAGCGCAGGAGACAGGGGCGGTCGACACCCGAGGCAGCACAGCACGAGAACGCTGAGCCGCAGCGGGAGGCCGCCTCTCAGGGCGAGACCAGGCCTGAGCCTGGAGGAGTCGACGTACCAACACCAGACGACACGGACCTGGAGGAGCTGCGGGCTTTCCTGGGGCGCGCTGGGGTTGCTGTGCAGCCCGAGGCCGACGAGGCAACGATCCGAGGGAGCGTTCGCAAGCTGGCCGAGGGTCTCAACGAATGGAGGACTGAGAAGCGTGCCAAGGTCCAGGTCCCTGCCTAGAGCACTGGTGATATGCTTGATGGGCCTGGTTCATACTGTGAGTGCGATGCCGTCGCTGGGCACGGTAGCAGGGTCGCTTGCAGCGAATCCTCTTTTTCAGGAGACTGGCGGCAGTGCTGCCGATGTGGAGGTGGCCAGAGTGCACTGCCTGGGTCGGAGCGGCGGCGGCAGTGCCGTGGGCCGCGGCAATGGGCGCGGAGGACGAGCCGCGGACGCGCGGGTGGTCGATGCCTCGTCCCACGTCCGACCTCCTGCTCGAGACGTCGACGGACGTAGCGCCCCGAGCGGGAAGGCAGCCGCGGCCCAGGCGAGACCGCGGTCGTCCGACTCCAGGCCCAGACACGATGTGGCAAGTGTTGGGCCAAGCCGTGGTGCAGGAGGCCTAGCGGCCGAGGGCCGTGGCAAGGGGCGAGCGAAGCGAGCCGCGGACGCGCGGGTGGTCGATGCCTCGCTCCTCGCCCCTGGGCTCACTCGGGCCGTCGACGGACGGAGCGCAGCCCCGAGTGGGGCCCTGGCCACGCGGCAGGCTGGCGTGGGCGGCGAGCACTGCCTGGGTCGGAGCGGCGGCGACAGTGCCAAGGGCCGTGGCAAGGGGCGGCCGCGGACGCGCGGGTGGTCGTTGCCTCGTCCCACGCCCAGCCCCCCGCTCGAGACGTCGACGGACGTAGCGCCCCGAGCGGGAAGGCAGCCGCGGCCCAGGCGAGTCCGCAGCCGCTCGACTCCAGGCACAGACGTGATGCTGCCCAGGTGGGGCCAGGCCATGGCGAGGGCGGCCTGGCGGCCCAAGGCAGCGGCAAGGGGCGTGCTAGGCGAGCCGCGGACGCGCGGGTGGTCGATGCCTCGCCTCACGCCCCAGGGCCCACTCGGGCCGTCGACGGACGGAGCGCAGCCCCGAGGGGGACCGATGCCACGGAGCAGGCTGGCCACAAGGGCAGCATCGCGACGCTGAATTGCTCGTCCGAGAAGCAGCTGCTCGAGTACATGGTGCACTGCAGTCACACAGTGGTCGCGGTGCAGGAACATCACGTTGCTCATGATGACCTGGCAGACGCACAGCATCGGTTGCTGGGCGCGGGCTGGCAAGGCATATGGGCGGCGGCCAACCACACAGTCAACGGTGGCACGCAGGCAGGGCTAGCAGTTCTGGCCAGGCCGAACGTCATGATTACGCGCGGGCCGTGCATGAACGGACAGACCGTACTGGCTGGCGGTCGAGCTTTGCCCGCTCAAGTACATTGGGGAGTCCCTGGGGGAGCGGTACTGGTCTCAGTGTATCTTTACGTCAATGAAGGTTGGTCTGGCAATAATCTACACATCATGCAGGAGGTCAGTAGCTATTTGGAAAGGTTGAATCATGCAGGCTACGATTGGATTGTGGCAGGAGATTTCAACATCGAAGCATCCCAGTTCGGCGATATGCGTTGGCTACACGGGCTTGGTGGTATGCTTCGGGCTCCAGCGGCGACCACATGCAGACAGGCTATGCCTGGCAGTTGCATCGACTTTTTCCTCACGTCGTCTAACTTGATGACACGAGTAGAGCAGCCGTGTGTTCAGGAGGCGGCAACCACTTTTCCGCACCTGCCAGTGCATATGCATATCAGTGGCAAGGACATCCAGCTGTTTCATCGAGAGCTGCGTGGGCCGCGTGCCGTGCCCAAGCAACCGAAGCCAGGGTGCGCGAGGTTCCCTTTGTGTTGGCACGGAGTTGCACGTATTATAGATGCCGCGTGTGACGACAGCAGTTTGCAGGTGGCATGGGATGCTGTGCTGAGCCAAATTGAATTAGAGCTGCTTGCCAGACATGACGTCGTTGGCACCAAGGCTGAGCCGTTCGTTGGAGCGTGTGGCCCAGTAGAGTTTGAGACTGTCAAGCTGCAGTGGCAACCACAGCAGAAGCGTTCATACTTGTCAAAAGCAGCCAATGCGTGGTGCGTAGCAGCCAGATGGGCGCGACACATGCGTAGGGCGAAAGAAGCTATCATTAATGTCACGGCGAAGGTAAGTCTGCAGCAAGAGGCAGGGGAGGCAGACACGGCCCACCTGCACAAGCTGTCGAGTTTGACGATTGAGCTAGGCCGCTTTTTGGCGAAGGTGCTAACTGAGACGGCCGTGCTCAGCGAGCTCGACAGCTGGGCGTCTGACTTGTTTCTGATGGGAATGGAGTTCCTTGTTCACACAGAAGTAGATGCAGTGCTGGATGCAATCGAGGCCAAAGCAACGGAGCTTGCGGAGGCACACAGTCAGAAGACCGCCAAAGCCTGGAGGGACTGGAAGGCAGCAAGTTTTTCGAATGGCGCGCGTTTCGCGCATAGGCACACGAAAGGGAGAGCGTTGCAGGAAGCGGTTAATGCTAATGTGACTGCTCGCACGCCCTCCCAGCCGTATCAGCTAGCCGATAAGGCCATGAGGGAATGGGAAGAAATTTGGTCGATGCACGATGCCGCAGTTCCTCAGTTGCCAGCAGAGGCGAAGGACTGGGAAGAGCTCCCACCTTTGACCTTGCAGGACTTGCAACGCGCCATTCTTCAGTTCCCATGGGCGACGGGAGTCGGCCAGTTCAGTTTTGCTCCTCGCAGTTTAATCTTTCTGAGCAGCCCAGGCCTGGAGGCCTTAGCGAAGCTGTTCATGAAGTGTGAAAGCCTCTTGATCTGGCCTT